TAGCTCTGCTTGCGTCTGTCTAGCTCTGCTTGCGTCTGTCTAGCTCTGCTTGCGTCTGTCTAGCTCTGCTTGCGTCTGTCTAGCTCTGCTTGCGTCTGTCTAGCTCTGCTTGCGTCTGCCTGTGTGTTTTCCATCTGCTTGTCTGTCTCAGGGAGCGGCTTGTAAAACTGCTGGTCTTTGAGCCGCTCCCTGATTCCTGAGCAAATAAAAATGCATATTGCATCATGGTTATTTGTATATTACATCTACAAGCACAGCATAGCACTTTGCCTGGAATTTGAGTTATTTTTTTTATTAACACATCGGCCAATTCCCACCAAGGTAGTGTGGCTCAAAAAGATAGACTTTCATACGCAAATAACCCACACATAGAAGAGATGAGCTTATGACGACATTTCAGTCAAACTTGGACCATTTACAAAGTCGCACTGTGAGACTTTATAAATGGTCCAAGTTGGACCGAAACGTTGTCGTAAGCTCCTCTCTTCTATGTGCGGGCTATTTGCATATCGTTCCAGTCACGGTACTGTGCCTTTTTTTTTTTTATTTAAAGACTTTCATTATAATTCACTCCATCACTGTCTTGCCAGAGGGGTGCTTTACACTACAGTTATAAAACAAAACATTAACACCCCTCATTCAGAGTGGAGACACTGTACTTCCCATCTCCAGGACTCAAATCTGGCCTGCCGGTTTCCCTGAATCCCTTCATAAGTGTTACTTTGCTCATGCTCCAACAGCACATCAAGTATTAGAAACCATTTGTCTCCATTCACTCTCATCAAATACGCACGTATTTGATAGGAGTAATTTACACTATCAATAATAACTGTACTTATGTGTATATGTCCTAGGTAGTAGGTTGGTAGACAACAACCGCCCAAAGAGGTACTACCACCCTGTCAAGCGAGTGTAAAACCAAAGCCTGTAATTGTTTTACATAAAGGTAGGATTGCTGGTGTCTTTTTTGTCTCAAACATGCAAGATTTCAGGTACGTCTTGCTACTTCTACTTACACTTAGGTCACACTACACATACATGTACAAACACACACATACATACGCCCCTCTGGGTTTTCTATTTTCTTTCTAGTTCTTGTTCGTATTTATTTCCTCTTACCTCCATGGGGAAGTGGAACAGAATTCTTCCTCCATAAGCCATGAGTGTTGTAGGAGGCAAGTAAAATGCTGGGAGCAAGGGGCTAGTAACCTCTTCTCCTGTATATATTACTAAATGTAAAAGGAGAAACTTTCATTTTTCCTTTTGGGCCACCCCGCCTCGGTGGGATACGGCCGATGTGTTGAAAGAATGATGATGATGTGTATATGTGAGAGAGAGAGATAGACAGACAGCTGGTCAGCCTGCCAAATACACAAGAACATAAGAAGGAACACTGCAGCAGGCCTACTGGCCCATGCAAGGCAGGTCCATGTTAACAACTGGCTTAGACCTATGACCCACCTAGTCAGGTCACATCCACTGAAGGAAGGAGCACAGCATCAGACCTAGTAGCACAAGCTAGTCAGGTCCAACTAGTGCCCACTCACTTAACCTATTTTTACTTTCCTTTTTAAAAGAGGTGTTAATGTGACATAACATCAGTGAATCCCTGGTGTTTGCCACACTATTTGCTCTAGATGGCACTCACTTGAACTGGTGCTCCCACAAGGTACTAAGTGATCCCAGATTTTTAATACTGCGCACACCAATTGCTAAAATCCATTCTCTCATGCTTAGGCGACTCGGGCCTATCGCCCCAATTTTGAAGGAATGACAAATAAAACTACGTTCGGAGCGCTATGTGAATGAACGTATATCTATGTTTGGACAGTTTAAGGGTTAAGAGTCCCTTCACTTCAACTTTCTCACTTGTGAGGTATATAATGCAATCCTCTTTTCATTCATTTCACAATATCCAAAGCTATGTGTACAATTACCCTTAAAATGCATGGGAGTATGTTCCCTGAAGTTCTAAAAAACTTAACCCCTTAACTGTCCAAACGTAGATATAGGTTCTCTCGTCCAGCGCTCTGAATATGGGGGGGGGGGAGATTAAGGACTTTTTTGTTTTTACATAAAGTAATGTAAGAAAAACAATTTTAGAGTCAGTACTTAGAGAGATACAAGGCCACAAAGTTGACAATTGTCATTCACCTGACTGCCACATGAGGTGCTGCCACTTGCAGAAATTCTACATTTTTTTTTTTTTTTTTTTTTTAATTTTCACAGTTTTTATGGTATGATGGTAATGTTTCATAGCAGATCATTTGATTTGATAGCCAATTGTTTATACACAAATATTATGAATGAAATTATTAATCTGTCACAAACACACATGTACGTACATACTTATAGGTGATTTTGTACACCTGGCTGAATCACATTCTATTATCTACAACAATATACAAGTATAGTTACATGTCCCAGTTATGTTTCTAGTAATCCAGGATTGTATGATACTCCATGAAACATGGATTCATACAGGGTGCTACCCCACTTTCCTTCCGTTGTTGGGGTCGCCGTGAGGTATTAGCACACAACACACTTTTTCTGAGTATTTCTTTTTTGGGGTAGGCGGTATTGGTATCAGGTAGTGACAGTGAGGATTCGGTCTGGCACTTCCCCCACTGGTTGTCGTTGGGGGACAGGTTGCTGTTGAGGGACAAGTATAGGTGTGGTACCATACTTTTTTGCTATCCGCATGATGACATTTAGGCTGAATTCTGCATAACAAATTCATTTTCCAGTCTTTATTTCATACATATTGAAGACATTGAGCATTGCAATGTCTACAAGGTGGAAAAACACTTTCATATACCACTTGCAATCCTTCACACACACAGAGTCAACAAACCCTATCATCATGTCACAAGTGTCGACTAGTCACATATTGTTCATATAGCCAACGACAGCAGCTGGCTTCACAATGCGTTCACTGGTCTTTCTGTTCACTTTGTTTGTACCATCTCATTTCTGTGGATGGTTGACAGGAATGCAATGTCCCATTTGTCATGCCATGTCAGTGCCACGATGACATTGGCATGAAACGCTTGAACTGCACCTTCACCAATGCCTTCACTGAACTTTCGCATATGTTTTCTATTTCTTCTCACTGTTCCACATACATCAGTATTTTTCACACACAGGAAATCAGCGAGCATAGGGCTTGTATACCAGTTGTCTGCGTATAATGTATGGCCCTTGCCAAGGTATGGTTCCATCATCTTGCAAACAAGATCACCAAAAATGCCCAACATCCACCTGTCATCATCAAGCGTGTTTCTCCTGGTGTATACAATGACATCCAACACCATGCCACTCTCTCAATCGCACAAACAGTTTTATACCAAAGTGATTACGTTTTCTCGATATATACTGCTTGAAGGACAGACATCCCTTTAACAGAATCAAGGACTCATCGACAACGTTCTTGAATGAATAAAAACAGGCACTGAATTTCTGCTACAGATACAAACACTTCCCGGATTTTGTATAGAAGGCCATTTCTGTTGGGTCTATTCCTGTCCGAGAAATGCAACATTCGTAGCAACAGACTGAATCTGTTGCAGGGAAGGTGGTCACGGAAGACAGGAGTACTGAAGTAGTAGTCTGTGGACCAGTCGTGTGCTATACTGTGCTTATACGTATGAGCCATTAGCATGACAGTGCTGAGGAATTAATACATTTCGGCCACAGTTGTATCTTTCCATCTGCACAACCTCTGTGTTGTCCATTATATTATATAGCTGTAGTAAATGTTTGTCTGGGTGACAATCAAGTTCATTAGCAGCCCATCAAAGTATAGTTGGAAAAAGTCTAACTCTGTAGACTCAATCGTGATGGGACATTCTGGGAGGATGCCACTTCCACTGGCATCAAAATCGAAAGGATGTGGCATGAATGTTGTACTTCGTGTCCAGTTCCACTAACGGTCACATGGTGCAGGGTGGACCCGAGGCATGGGGGAGCAAGAGGGGGGACGGGTGGAGGCAGCACACGGCTGAGGAGGTACCGGGTGGTCCTTTGTCTGCCCACCCAACGCACCACGGGGGCCAGGCACCATCGCCACCCACAACCACCTCATCCTCCATCCCTGAGTCTTTACCTTCGTGATCACTATCAGTTGCTGGGGTTTTTGATCGTGACTTCCCACAACCATTGGGTACTGCATATGGCACACTGCCTGAACATAGGAAATGATGCCTAAACATACGCTTCACTTGGGAATAATGTACATCACTATCACTTGATTCATCTGTGGGCATAAAATCAATCTCATCATCACTTATATCACTTTCACTCATCTTCACCAAATATGACAGAATACGATAATTTCCTTTTGCGCAGTAGCCTCTGAGTTGTAACACTGGCGACCCCAGAGGTGCTTGGCTGAGGGTCTGGTGTGGCCCCACTCGGCACCCCAGAGGTGATGGGTCGAGGGTCATTTGGGTTATCGTCAATATTTTCACTAATTCCTTGACATTCATGGCTATATCGGTCTCGAATCCACTAAACTGACGTTCTATACCACTTTCCTTGAATAAGAGTGTCAATATGCTGAGGCGCAATTGAATCACAAGGGTTTCCCATGATGTTGACCCAGGATGGAGCCGAAACTAACTGGTGCTAATATGTGGTATAGCACGGACAGGGATTTTTTTCATACTGAGTGCGCAGATCCATTCTCTCGTGCCTAGGCCACTCAAGCCTATCACGCCAAATTTGAAGGCAGGAAAAAATGTAGATCTACATTCGGAGCACTAGCGTTAAGAACGTAGATCTACTTTTGGACAGTTAAAGGGTTAAAACCACAATTATAAAATTATGTCTAGCTAACAAATTTAGTTTAAAATTTGTGATCCCAATTTCAGAAAGTACATCTCTAATATGACCAGTATGGTTAATGCCAACATTCAAAAGAAAGAATAACCAGAGCAGACAGATTTAACCTTAGAGCCAAACAAATTGAATGAAATCTTATGGCTAGTTATGGCTCTCACCTTTTTCTGTTATTTCTTTTATGCTGCACTCATGAGCCTGAAGCTCAGCCATGAATGCCTGATGTTTCTGAAGTTTCCTTACTTTATCTTCAAAGCTTGTGACTTCTCCTTTAAGACGTTCTGCATCCAAGTGATTAGCTTTCTCATCAATCCACATGTTTGCATCCCCAACATCTCTAATAAATTGTGCGTAAAGATGAGCATCTTTTAACTGCCTTTTGCGAGCCCTGGAAAACAGAAAATTCTGTATTGTAGAAAATATGAAACTGTAAAATGCATGAAGTACTCAACATTTCCATGTATACTTTGCAAGAACACACAGCCTTCATGACACCACTAAAACTAAAGTAATTTTTCTTACTTGGTACTCTCCTTGACTCTTGCCCTTCTCATCACCACCTCATCAATGCGCTTCTTAATGTGAGGAGAGTCGAAGTGATTCTGCTCAACAAGTTTCGATCCATGGTTTTTCAAGGTTTCTAACTTCTCATCTTGAGCATAAACCAGTTTCTCAAAGGCATCATGCTTCTTTACCTATAAAAAATGTATTTTGTATTCATAGAGCTAAATACTCAAATTTTAAAAACTTACTATATTCCAAAACATATAAAACACCTTTTCTTCACAATCTGACCCTCAAAATCACCCTGCAACCCATATGGCAAAGGTCATGCTTGGGATCTCTTTCACCCTGGTTCAACTACCAAGGAAAAAATTTTTTATTTTAAGAATGGCCTTCTCCCACAAAGGCAGGGTGACCCAAAAAACAAGCTTTCACTATCACTCCATTACCATCATGCCAGTGCACAGTGACATAGCTGAATCACTTCATGAATGTTACCTAGCTCTGGCAAACTGGCTTTCCCTGAATCCCTTCATAAATGTTATCTAGTTCATGTCAATATACAGAGTATAGGGAACAAATGGATTTGTCAGTTAAAAACAGTAGGAGTCAGTAGATGGGGAGTTGGAGGTATTGGGTATATGGTGGGATTATTCTAAGTAACTTAACCCTTAAATGGTCCAAACGTATATATACGTTTTTTCAACATTTGAAAGTATGTAAAAAATGTAGATTTTTTTTTCATTTGAAAATGTGTTAAAAAACTTATCTACATTTGATTTTTTATGTGAAAAACATAGATCTACGTTTGGAGCACTACGTATTTGAACGTCTATCTGTTTGGACCGTTTAAGGGTTAAATGTTGATGAAGAAAGAGGCAGTAATTTCATGCACAGACCAGGGAGGTATAACATCTTTTAGGAGTGAAGAGCAGGATGCGAGTGTGGGTGGGGTGCACGAAGCATTTCGTAGAATGAAAGGGGGTAAAGCAGCTGGAACTGATGGAATCACAAATGTTAAAAGCAGGGGAGAAATAGTGTTGGAGGGGTTGGTATTTTTGTTTAATAAATGTATGAAAAAGGGGGAGGTACCTAGGGATTGGCAGACAGAATGCATAATTCCTTTATATAAAGGGAAGGGAGGACAAGAGAGATTGTAAAAATTATAGGGGAATAAGTTTACCGAGTATACCAGGTAAAGTGTATGGAGGGTTATTATTGAAAGAATGGGAGGAAAGACAGAGCAGGATTGCAGATGAGCAAGGAGGCTTTAGAATGGGTAGGTGATGTGTAGATCAGGTGTTTACATTGAAGAATATATGTGAACAGTATTTAGATAAAGGTAGGGAAGTTTTCATTGCATTTATGGATTTAGAAGGCATATGATCGTTGATCTAAGAAGTAGCTTGGTAGACAGCAACCACCCAGAGAGCTACTACCGTCCTGCCAAGTGAATGTAAAACGAAAGCCTGTAATTGTTTTACATGATGGTAGGATTGCTGGTGTTTTTTTTTTGTCTCATGAACATGCAAGATTTCAGGTACATCTTACTACTTCTACTTACACTTAGGTCACACTACACATACATGTACAAACATATATATACACACCCCTCTGGGTTTTCTTTTATTTCCTTTCTAGTTCTTGTTTATTTCCTCTTACCTCCATGGGGAAGTGGAACAGAATTCTTCCTCCGTAAGTCATGCGTGTTGTAAGAGGCGACTAAAATGCCGGGAGCAAGGGGCTAGTAACCTCTTCTCCTGTATATTTTACTAAATGTAAAAGGAGAGACTTTCATTTTTCCTTTTGGGCCACCCCGCCTTGGTGGGATACGGCTGGTGTGTTGAAAGAAAGATGACAGTTGATAGGGGAACAAATGTGGCAGATGCTGCAAGTGTATGGAACAGATAGTAAGTTACTAAATGCTGTAAAGAGTTTTTATGAAGATAGTGAGGCTCAGGTTATGGTGTTTAGGAGAGAAATATTACTTCCCAGTAAAAGTAGGTCTTAGACAGGGATGAGTAATGTCACCATGGTTAACATTTATAGATGGGGTTGTAAAAGTAGTAAATGGTAGGGTGTTGGGGTGAGGGATGGGATTAAATTATGGGAAATCTAATGCAAAATGGGAGTTGACACAGTTACTTTTTGCTGATACTGTGCTCTTGGGGAATTCTAAAGAAAAGTTGCAAAGGTTAGTGGACGAGTTTGGGAGGGCCTACAGATCAGCCTTGGTTTGGCTTTCGTTGTAGAGAGGCTGCTACTGCTAAGTACAAAGCATGGCGAAGGTATAAGAGACATCCTACCACCTATAACAGGAACTTGCACACGCAAGCCTGTAGGCATATGGGTGATGTTCAAAAGTGGGCCACTGCTAAATGGGAGGTGGACACTAAAAGAAAGCTAGCAACAGGTAGGGTAGGCTCCAAAACATGGTGGTCCCTGGTCAAGGACAGACAAGGTTATCTGCCTGATGAACTTATTCCACCTCTAAATCGACAGGATGGGACCACATCTACTAGTAGTCAAGAGAAGGTGGACCTCTTTGCTGAACACTTTGCTACCAAAATGCAAGTTCCTGATCCAGCAAGGGACCCTCCTTGGCTAGCTGCAAGAACTGTGTCATAACTGTCAGTGGTGACAATAAGGCAGGAGGAGGTGCATTTCCTTCTTAAATCGCTTGACCAAGAAAAGGCTGTGGGCCCAGACAAGTTGAGCCCAAGATTGTTGAGAAGATGTGCAGACCAGCTAGCAGCACCTCTAACTCGCATCTTTCAGCACTGCCTAGTACAGTGTAAATGGCCCTCTCTATGGAAAGAGGCAAATGTAGTCCCTGTTCACAAAAAGAAGAGCAGAGCAGAAATCAGCAACTACAGACCAGTGTCACTCCTGTCAATCACTGGTAACATCCTTGAGACAATAATCTCAAGACAAATGACAGTTTTTTGACTACCACTCACTACTTTGTGATCGTCAATATGGCTTCAGGAAAGGTTACTCTGCTGCTGATCTGTTGTTAAACCTCTCCACTAAGTGGCACCAGTCACTGGATGAATCCAAAGTCAGCTGTGTGGTAGCACTGGACCTTGCTGGTGCTTTCGACCGGGTGTGGCACCAGGGCCTCTTAGCAAAACTTCAAGCACTGGGAATTGCAGGCTCTACGCTATGTCTCCTCAGTGATTACCTTCATGGTAGATCTCTAAGTGTAGTCCTCAATGGAACGGAATCAGCAAGACATCCTATTGGGTCAAGTGTTCCACAAGGAAGCGTGCTGGGTCCATTGTTATGGAATGTCTACTTCAATGACCGTCTTCATCTCATCCCAGAATCACAAGCATATGCAGACGACTGTACACTGATATTCACTTATCCAAGAGAAGAAATGCCAGCTGCTCTAAGCTACATCAATCACCAGCTGAGAGCTATATCAGCTTGGGGAAATAGATGGCAAGTAACATTTGCACCTGAGAAAACACAAATGATGATAGTCTCTAGGCACCATGATGGTAATGCTGGTGCAGTAGTAAGGATGAATGGGAGGGTGTTGGCACCTGGAGAAGTTGATATCCTTGGGGTGAAATTTGACTCCAAACTAACCATGAAGAACCATGTTGTAAATCTTGCAAACAAGGCAGACAGGAAGCTTACAGCACTTCGCCGTATCTCGCATCTGCTTGACAGTAGGGATTGCAAGATCCTGTACGAGGCACAAGTACGCTCACACCTTGAGTATGCTCCACTTTCTTGGTTTGCCTGCCCCCCCTCTCATCTGCGACTGCTTGACAGAGTAGAGAACAGAGCAAGACGTATCTCTCGCCTGGACCCATCCTGGATAGATCTGTCATTTCAGCAGAGCCTTCAACATAGGAGGGATGTGGGTGGCCTTACTGTTATGTACAAGGCCAATATTGTCAAAATACCACACTTGGATCCACTTCGAGGACAGCGTGAAACAAGCTTTTAAGCCACAAGATGGGCAGAAAGCAGCAACTTCACTCTGGCTGTACCCTTCTCCAGAACATCACTCCATCCGAGATCATACATAACCAGGATGACTCGAGTATGGAACACATTCGTACAGCATAATGATGTCAACGAGATAAAGTCAGTTGATCAAATGAAAATGCTGGCCCACAGATGGCTCCAACTTCATCCTGTTCCCTACTTTCAAATGAGCTGATGTAGGTAACAGCTCTTAGCTTGTCAATAAAGTTAGGAATCCTTAACCTGTAAATAGCTTGTCAATAAAGCTAGGGATCCTTAACCTTGTCAAACCCTGTGTAAAAAAAAAAAAAAAAAAAAAGTATAAAGTTGAAAGTGAATATAGATAAAGGTTTTTTTTTTTTTTTTTTTTTTTTTTTTTAACAAGTCGGCCATCTCCCACCGAGGCAGGGTGACCCAAAAATAAAGAAAATCCCCAAAAAGAAAATACTTTCATCATCATTCAACACTTTCACCTCACTCACACATAATCACTGTTTTTACAGAGGTGGCCAGAATACAACAGTTTAGAAGCATATACGTATAAAGACACGCAACATATTCCTCCAAACCGCCAATATCCTGAACCCCTCCTTTAGAGTGCAGGCATTGTACTTCCCATTTCCAGGACTCAAGTCCAGTTATGTAAAAATAAGGTGATGATGGTATCAAATAATTTAAAAGAAAAACTGGATATCACACTGGAGGGAAAGAGTATGGGAAAAGTGAACGTTTTCAGATATTTGGGAGTTGACTTGTCAGTGGATGTGTTTATGAAGGATGAGGTAAACAACTTGAATTGATGAAGGAAAAAAAAGTGGTCTGTTGAGGTATCTGTGGAGATGAAGAAAGTTATCCATGGAGGCAAAGAAGGGAATGCATGAGAGTTTAGTGGTACCAACACTCTTATATGAGTGTGAAGCTTGGGTTGTAAATGCTGCAGCAAGGAGGCAGCGGAGATGTTACGTCTAAGGGCAAGGTGTGGTGTAAATATTATGCAGAGAATTCGTAGTGTGGAAATTAGGAAGGGTGGAGTTACTAAAAGTATTAGTCAGAAGGATGAAGAGGAGCTGTTGAGGTGGTTTGGTCATTTAGAGAGAAAGGAACTTGGAGAGTGTATAAATCTGTTGGGGAAGGAAGGCACTGTAGGAGTCTTCCCTGACAAGGTTGGAGCGAGGGGGATAAAGGAGGTTTTGTGGGATAGGGGCTTGGATTTCCAGCAAGCATACATGTGTGTGTTACATAGGAGTGAATGGAGACTAATGGTTTTCGGGACCTGACAAGCTGTTGGAGTGTGAACAGGTTAATATTTTGTGAAGGGATACAGGGAAACCAGTTAGCCAGACTTGAGTCCTTGGAATGGAAAGTACAATGGCTGCACTTTAAAGGAAGGGGTTTAGGATACTGGCAGTTTGGAGGGATGTTTAAACTGTCTTATGCTGAGTGCCTCTGCAAAGACAGTGATTATGTATGAGTGATGGTGAAAGTGTTGAATGAAAGTTTTTTTTTCTTTTTGTGTCACCCTGCCTCAGTGGAAAAATGGCTGAAGTGTTAAAAAAATACATGAACAATTCCAGGGCATCTTAGATGCCACAAAATACAGTTAGATATGTGACTGGGATTTCCTATATTTAGCACAGAACTTAAAAAAAAATGCTAACCTGGGCATCCACCTCTTCAATAGTGGTTCCAAAATCAGCAGATGAGAGAGCAGCTTCCTGTGTACTACTGATGGTGTCTAGCTGTTTGGCATCTCTTAAGAAGAATTGCAGGTCAATCAATTGATCAAGATAAACTTTCTTGTGTTGCCATGCTGCATGTAGTTTGTTTCTCTCCTCAAGAACCTGCATTTTAATGAGTTGTAATATGATCAGGGGAAATGAGAACTTTTACCTACAAAAATAAGACTGGTTATCAAACATCCTCAGTACTTTTAGGAATACACAAACATCAAATGTAAAAAAAAAAACATTTATAAATATTTCTCAAATCAAAGAATGGGTGGGGCTCAGATCCACAGCAGGCGAGTGTGCTAACTCGCTCTAATAGGATTTATCCAATTATGTATAAATCCTATTAGACCCAGCTGGTCCAATGGTCAGAACATTGGCCTGTGAGCTTTATCCCTTCTATGATTTGTTTCCAATTGTGTTATTTCTCACAAGTCAAATACTGTTTATAAAACAGTCAATTTCTGACATAAATAGAATAAATTTATAAATAATCTTTCCAATTTGGTGCCTCAGTATTTAAATCATTTAAAAGAGGCAATAAGTTATCTCAAGGAAAAAATAGCCTTTCTAATATTAAATACTAAAACTAAATTCCACAACTACACACAATAACACTCCAAACTTCCTCCAATTTAGGATATAACCTTTGTTGAAAGCTTGAGCCAATCAGAAGAGGCATTCTTCAGTTATTGCATGGAAATAAATTATTGCTTTGACTGTGAAACTGACAAAAGGGTAGCCGCATACCCCAACATGAACATTCTCTAGATACCCATACATGTGTGTTGAAATGTGAAGCCACTGACCAGGTGTTCAAGGTACAAACCAAGGAGGAAAAAAAAATTTTGGCAATCACTCTAGGCTCCTCATGCTGGAGGATACTTAACTAATTTTAGAAGTATTATGAATCAAGCCAGTATATGACCTGTGTATTCTTTGTGAGGTTTCTCCTTATATTGTTTCTAATTCTTATAATAGCACTTTCTCACCTTGTTCACTCTCTCCTCAACTTCAGAACTTGCGTAGTGCCGATCTTCAACCATATTACCGCCAGCCTCAACCACTTTGCTGAACTCGTCCTCTCGTGCCTCAATTTCTGCCTTAATGCGTTCATGCTCAGTTTTCAGACCCTGAGCACTTGCTGCATCTCTTACTTTCTCCTCAGCTTTCATGGTAGTTCTTAAGTCACTTGACCAGCTGATCAGGTCACGTGACTGTGAAAAGGATTACAAGCGTTCAGTATATTATATTTTCATACATTTATGCAAAACTCTTCTCTAAAGGAGATGGGATGAACATTTTGCTATGTCGCCTCTGCTATTTCACACATACTCTGGATCCTTGTGAAGTTAATATTTACTTCAGCTGTTTGGAATGTGGGTAATACTGTAAATTCAACAATAATTGGGTTGTGCAATGCTGATATGTACTTATAATTTGTACCTAGAGAAAGAACACTTTTCGTAATTAAAATAAATCCCCCCCACCCACCTTGTCAGTAGCATTACTGATTTAGTGTTACTGATTCCCAGTGTGACATACTTGTGTAGTTATCCCCAGCATGTCAGTAATGTGTACTACTGTACTCCTAGTAACCGTTACTGATTCGCCGCCTCCCTGTGTGAATCACTGACCGTTACTGCTGGCCTAGTATGATTTGAATGCTGCTCGCCCTCCAGGCACTCGGCAGCTCATTCCAAGTAAAGACGTTAGGTAGACGGCAGGTCAAGCTTAGCGGTTCCTCCCTAGTACCCATAATAATAAGTTAAAATCTGTTCGAAGTTTGTGATTTTACCCAATTCCAGCATACGAACCCCCACGCGACACCACAAGCCCACAATATAATTGTATCTATGACAACTCATTTAATGTTGTATAATAAAGTAAATATTAAAACCCATAAACCATTTTAACAATTCACACTATTTCTACTATAAAACTCTCAGTATTATACACCATTCTGCCAAGCAGCTAAAGTATTTAAATATGGATTGAAGACACTCAGATGCAGTGGATATCTTTATTGAAAATAACATTTCACCTGTGCAAAACACTCATTAATTCAGACATCCATTGCATCAGTGCCCTACACTCTACATTGTCAGTATTTACATACTATTTCAGTTCCAAAAAAATACATTAACCATCACTCCAATTCTAGTTGCCTTTCTAAAAGAGCTCAATATCAGTCCAATGCTGACACACCAACACACATTCATCTTAGTTTTAAAGTGTTGCAATTGTTCCTCTCTCCAACACGTATCAGTTAACCTCTTCTCCTGAATCTCTTCAAAAGGTATTATTGTATTTAAACTAACAACTCATCAAATTTCATGAACCACTAAGCTTACTGTCACCAATTCCTACTCCAACATGTTTACCTTTGCCTGCTGAATGTTCAATACTCTGCACTGAAAAAGATTTTAAAATTGCAAATCAACTAATGGAAACTGGGTATGGGAAAAAAATGTGAGGGAAATATTTGTAATGGAGGGAGGAAAGTGACAGAAAAAAAGAATAAAGAATAAAAAGGAAAGAGAAAAAGAGACAAAGGAAAAAATATAACATGGAGGAAGGGGTGCAAGAGAAGGAAGAGGTAGAAGAGAGAGAGGAAAGAGGAAGAATAAAAGGATAAGCAAGTTATCTTACTACTATGGACTGAAATTTATATTAAGTGAATATGAAATTTAAAGGAAGAAAAAGAAAAAAAAAAATCCCTTGGTTTTAGGAGAGTAATGTTAGATATACTAACATCAGCCAAGAATCTCTGAAGATCAGCTGCAGCATGAAGCTGCTCTTTCCTTCTAGAGGCACGCTCTTGAAGCATATTCCAGTTGTCAACCACTAGAGTTTGTTGCTCAGCTATATGTTCAGCATTACTGCCTGGGTATGTTGACTGAAGTCTTGCAGAGTCATCAACCAGCACCTGATAATTACAACATTCTTCTAGATTATTTAAATAAGATTATTAATAAATCAGTATGAAGAGAAAGCAAAGTTCCCTACCAACAAAAGTTTGTTCTGCAAATGTTTACCATTGTCTTCATGGTTGTTGGCAATATTCTTGCTTGACAAAATCAGAAAATGCTAATAAAAATGGTGAAAAGTCTGACAGTGACAGGGATACTGGCCAGGAACTACTGGAAGAAGATTCCATAGCATCTTCACACAATAAAAAATCAGTGTTAGGGCTTTTAAAGGAATACCTTATCAATTGTAACAGGGGCCTACAAAATTCTGCCATACTGAGTTGTCAGCCATGCAATATCAATATTTAACTCATTCACTGTCAGTGCCGTAATATTACAGCTCGCAAGTCAGTGTTGGTGCCGTAATATTACAAGAAAATTCTAGCAGCTTCCAATCTTGCAGAAGAAAGCTGGTAGGCCTACATACGAGAGAATAGGTCCGAGTGGTCAGTGTGCGCAGTATAAAAAAAATCCTGTAGCACGCAGTTCATGATAAAAAAAAAAAAAAAACTACCGAGATTTTGGTTTAAAACACCGAATTTGCAGTGTATTTTTGTATGGTATTTATGATTGTGCTCTTGTTTTCTTGGTCTCATTAATAGAATGGAAGATATATTACAGAAAGATATGATTTTGAATGGTTTAATGCTTTCACTGTCGAGACCCCTGCTCACAAACTTGCTCTCAGTGTCGAATTAAAAAAAAAAAGAAAAAAAAAAATAAATGATAGAGAATCTTTTCCCCATTGTAATGGCACCAAAAGTACAAAATTTAATGGAAAACTTGCGGAATTAGGCTCTCGCAAACTTAGCGGTCTGGGCAATATTTACACATCACCTATTTTGCCCACTCTGGCCCTATTTTAAGCAAATTCCGTTGTTCCAGTCGACCAAACTCATAGCTATTTCGCTAGAACTCCATTTGTTATATCGAATGAGTACAATAAACTCCCCATTTACTGATTTCAACTACCCAATTAAGTGATCAGAAATTGGTAATTTGGCCAATTTCATACACAATTCAAGTAAGGCTAATTTGAAAATAGGGGCCAGAATAAACAACACAGGCATTCCTAGCTCTAAAATAACATTTTCTCTGTTCATTAGTCACATCTCCAGGCGCTCTTATATTATGTTTGCTTTCCATTTTGAATTTTTATTCACAAAAAATAAAAGATTCTGTTATGCAGACTACTGCATTATTATAAAAATGGTATAAATAATATCAGCGCATTTGTGAAAGCATATCAGACCCACCAGCTGACATGCACTGAATGCGTGACGTGATTTGTTTACTCTTGAACGTTGGAAAAAATTAGGACCAAGAAAATGAGAGTACAACCATAAATACCATTAAAACACCGCAAAGTCGGCGTTTTAAACCAAAAAATATGGTCGGAGTTTTTTTTCCCTCATTATGCACTGCGTGCTGCAGGACTTTTTTTTATACTGTGCACACTGAGCACACAGACCCATTCTCTCACATATAATCCTACTAGTTTTCGCCCACCAGATTTGAAGGAGCCAGACTTTTGGTGTAGTACTACGGGACCGACACTGGCTTGCAAGCCAAAATATTACGGGACCGACAGAGAAGGGATTAATGAACACATACTGGAAGCTTGGGAGGAGCCAAACACACAATTTAAACATTCAACAAAACACGCATGCTAGGGAAGGAGTGCAGAAGGAATATAATTCCAATATTCAAGTTAGCAGGTTGGTAGACAGCAACCACTCGGGCAGGTACTACTGTCCTACCAAGCGAGTGTAAAAAGGAAGCCTGTATTTGTTTTACATGAAGGTAGGATTGCTGGTGTCTTTTCTGTCTCAAACATGCAAGATTTCAGGTACATCTTGCTACTTTACTTAACCCTTTCAGGGTCCAAGGCCCAAATCTGGAGTCACGCACCAGTGTCCATGAATATTCAAAAAAAAAAATTTGTTATTTTTTCTTATGAAATCGTAGAGAATCTTTTTGTGAAGGTAATAAAACAAAAAGTACGAAATTTGGTGGAAAATTGACGAAATTATGCTCTCGCAAATTTTGATGTGTCAGCGATATTTACGAATCGGCGATTTTGCCGACTTTGACTCCCATTTTAGGCCAATTACATTATTCCAATCAACCAAATTCTTAGCTATTTCACTAGTATTACTTCTATTCTATCGATTGAGCACAAGAAATCGCCAAGTCAACTGTTTCAACAAAATAAAGTGATCGGAAATTGTTAATTTGGCCAATTTAACCCTTTCAGGGTCCAAGGCCCAAATCTGGAGTCACGCACCAGTGTCCAAGATATTTCAAAAAAAAAATTTGTTATTTTTTCTTATGAAATCGTAGAGAATCTTTTTGTGAAGGTAATAAAAAAGTACGAAAATTGGTGGAAAATTGACGAAATTATGCTCTCGCAAATTTTGATGTGTCAGCGATATTTACGAATCGGCGATTTTGCCGACTTTGACTCCCATTTTAGGCCAATTACATTATTCCAATCAACCAAATTCTTAGCTATTTCACTAGTATTACTTCTATTCTATCGATTGAGCACAATAAATCGCCAAGTCAACTGTTTCAACTACAAAATAAAGTGATCGGAAATTGTTAATTTGGCCAATTTAACACAAAGTTCAAAATATTCCAATTTCAAAATAGGGTCCAGAATGAACAATGTAGGCATTCCTGGCACTAAACTAACATTTCCTCTGTTCATTAGTTATGTTTTGAGGCTTTACAAATAAATTGCATTTTGATTTTTTATTCACATAATGAATTTTTATTCACACCAAAAAATAGAAGATTTACTGTTATGCAATACTGTAATAATTGTATAAATATCATCACAATATTTGTGAATGTATATTAGACCCACCAGCTGATGTGTATTAGACGTGTGAGGTCGTTTGTTTACTCTTGAATATCGGCAAAAATTTAACATTTCCGCTACTTTGAGCTCAGTTTCAAGCCATTTCCAATGCTAAAACCAATCAAAATCATCTCTATTTCTGTAATATGTCTTCCATTCTATCAAATGAGACCAAGAAATCGCAAATACAACTATAAAAAACATACGAAAAAACACTGCAAAGTTGCTGTTTTAATCGAAAAATCATGATTTCATTTTTTTTCTCTCATTATGCACAGTGTGCTGCAGGATCTGTTTTATGTGGTGCACACATACCACATAGATGTATTCTCTCATATCTAGGCCCAAATGTACCACTCACAGTTTATCAGAGTGAGCTGAGCTCATGGCGTAGATCTACGGTTTGGACCCTGAACATAAAGCCGTAGATCTACGGGACGGACCCTGAAAGGGTTAACACAAAGTTCAAAATATTCCAATTTCAAAATAGGGTCCAAAATAAACAATGTAGGCATTCCTGGCACTAAACTAACATTTCCTCTGTTCATTAGTTATGTTTTGAGGCTTTACAAATAAATTCCATTTTGATTTTTTATTCACATAATGAATTTTTATTCACACCAAAAAATAGAAGATTTACTGTTATGCAATACTGTAATAATTGTATAAATATCATCATCATATTTGTGAATGTATATTAGACCCACCAGCTGACGTGTATTAGACGTGTGAGGTCGTTTGTTTACTCTTGAATATCGGCAAAAATTTAACATTTCCGCTACTTTGAGCTCAGTTTCAAGCCATTTCCAGTGCTAAAACCAATCAAAATCATCTATTTCTGTAATATGTCTTCCATTCTATCAAATGAGACCAAGAAATCGCAAATACAACTATAAAACACATACGAAAAACACTGCAAAGTTGCTGTTTTAATCGAAAAATCATGATTTCAGTTTTTTCTCTCATTATACACAGTGTGCTGCAGGATCTGTTTTATGTGGTGCACACATACCACATAGATGTATTCTCTCATATCTAGGGCCAAATGTACCACTCACAGTTTATCAGAGTGAGCTGAGCTCATGGCGTAGATCTACGGTTTGGACACTCACCGTAAAGCCGTAGATCTACGGGACGGACCCTGAAAGGGTTAAACTTAGGTCATATACATGTACATGTTTATGTATACACACTCATCTGAGTTTTCTTTGATTTTATCTTAATAGTTCTTGTTCTTAGTGCTTTTCATTTCATATCCATGGGGAAGTGGAATAAGAATCTTTCCTCCATAAGCCATGCATGTTGTAAAAGTCAACTAAAATGCCAGGAACAATGGGCTAGTAACTCCTTTTCCCGTATAGCCTACTAAAAACACAAAGAAAACTGTCAAAGTGGGATGTTTGAATGTGCCTGGATGTTGTGCGAATGATAAGAAAGAAATGATTCTGGATGTTGTGTGTGAGAAGCTGGATGTCCTGGCTTTAAGTAAAATAAAGCTGAAGGAGTTGGGAGAGTTTCAGTGGGGAGAAATAAATGGGATTAGGTCAGGGGGTTTCAAATAGAGCTAAAGGAGGAGTAGAAATAATGCTGAAGGATAAGTTATGGCAGGAAAAGAGGGAATATAAAAGTATAAATTCAAGGATTATGAAGTGTAAAATAAGGGTTGGATGTGAAAAGTGAGCTATAATAAGTGTTTATGCACCTGGAGAAGAGAGAAGTGTAGAGGAGAGAGAGAGATCTTCGCAAATGTTGAGAGAGTGCGTGGGGAGTTTTGAACCAACTGAGAATTAGAGGCAAGACAGTAGGATTGCAGATGAGCAAGGAGGTTTCAGAATGGGTCGGGGATATGTAGATCAAGCATTTACATTGAAGAATATATTTGAACAGATTTAGATAAAGGTAAGGAAGTTCTCATTACATTTATAGATTTAGAAAAGGCATATGATAAAGAGTGGATAGGGGAGCAATGTGGCAGATGTTGCAAGTATATGGAATAGGTAGTAAGTTACTAAATGCTGTAGAGTTTTTATGAGGATAGTTAGGCTCAGGTTAAGGCGTGTAGAAGAGAGGGAGATTAAGACCTACTTTTAC